TCTACCACTTGAGCCACAGTGCCACTTCCAGCTTTTTCTGCTTATGTGGTGCTGAGGAATCGAACCCAGGGCCTCATGCATGCAAGGCAAGCACTCTAAGATTCTTAAATATGCTATGTTTATTTTCCCGTGTCCTCAAACTAAAAATAGCAGCAATGGATCCCAAAAACAAATAAAATCAACACAATAATAAAATGAATATTTCTAGTAAAAATATAGATACATTTTTTTAATTAAATCCAATGTTTAAAAAAAAAGCATCTATGGGGCTGGGAATGTGGCTTAACAGAGTGCTTGTCTAGCATGCATGAAGCTCTGGGTTCGATTACTCAGAAGCAGAGAAAGCTGGAAATGGCACTGTGGCTCAAGTGGTACAGTGTTAGCCTAGAGCCAAAAAAAAGAGGCTCAGGGACAGTGTCCAGGCCCTAAGTTCAAGCCCCAGAGCTAGCAAAAAAAAAAAGAAAGCATCTAAACAAAATAGAAGTTTTATCCCTATTCTTTCCCTAGACTTTAAAGTTTCTTTGGTTCATTGCTGTATCCTAGACTCATATAAGACGTGGTAAAGAGAAGATAATTACTAATTAACTGCTGAATAATTTATCTTCTAAGTCTCCATTGTTTCATTTGGTAGCTACCAGCAACACATATTTTCTTTGTTTTTGGTGCTAGTACTAGAGGGCTTGAACTCAGGGTTTGGGTAATGTTTCTTAGTTTTTTGTCTTTTTTGTTGGTCGCTGAGCTTCAACTCAGGGCCTGAGCACTGTCCTTGAGCTCTTTTGCTCAAGGCTAGCACTTTACCACTTTGAGCCAGAGCTCCACTTCTAGTTTTCGGATGGTTAATTGGAAACAAAAGTCTCATGTACTTTCCTGGCTTCAAACTGGGATCCTCAGATTTCAGCCTCCTGAGTAGCTAGGATTACAAGCAAGAGCTACCAGTGCCCAGATTTCCCTATACCTTTTTTGCTCAAGGCTGATGCTTTACCACTTGAACCACACTTCCACTTAAGTTTTTGCTGGTTAACTGAAGAGTCTCACTTACTTTCTTGCCCAGGCTGGCTTTCGAACCTAATCCTCAAATCCCAGTCACTGAGTAGCTAGGATTCTAAAAGTAGATCCATCAATACTTTTAGTTCTTTAAGACTATTCCTATGGCCGGGAATATGGCTTAGTGGTAGAGTTCTTGTCTAGCATGCATAAAGCCCTGGATTCCATTTCTCAGTACTACATAAAAAAGCTGGAAGTAACACTATGGCTCAATTGGTAGAGCACTAGCATTGAGCCAAGGAAGCTCAGGGACAATGCCCAGGCCCTGAGTTCAAGCCCCAGAACTGGCAAAACAAACAAACAAAAGATTATTCCTGCATAGTTATTAACTAAACAAAAGGCTCAGAAAGCCCATTAGAATTTATTTTATCCGTTTGTGAAGATACAGTCTTTTTTTTGGTTCCGGTCATGGGACCTGAACTCTGAGCCTGGGCGCTGTCCCTCAGCTCTTCAGCTCAAGGCTAGCGCTCTACCACTTGAGCCACAGCGCCACTTCTGGCTTTTTTCTT